GAACCGCCAGCCTTCTGATTAGCAGTCAAATGCCTTAGGCACTATGCCCCCAGAGCTTATGTAGCAGAAGAAAATGTTTGCAAGGGTTTTGCAACAACTATCCATTTACCTTTTTATAAATAATTGCTTCATTGAGGTGTAATTCACATACCATAAAATTCACCCTTTTAAGTTAAATAATACAGTGATTTTTACATATTTGTAGTTTTGCCACCATCATCACTAACTAATTTTAGAATGTTTTACTACCCCCAAAAGAAGCCCATCCCCATTAGCACTCCCCATTTCTCCCTCACCCTCACTCCCTGAGAACCTCTAATCTATGTTCCGTCTATTTACCTACTATGTTCCGTGATTTACTAAACCTGGAAGCTTCATATAAATGAAATTGTGCAATATGTGGCCTTTCACTTTACATAATGTCTTCAAGCACCACCCATGTTGTAGTATGGATGAGAACTTCATTTCTCTTCATTGTGGAACAATATTCCACTGTGTAGATATACCACATTTTGCTTATCCATTCATCAGTTGGTGGACATTAAGTTGTTCTCACTTCTTAGCTATTATGTGTAATGCTTAGAGTTTTGTATAGATTTACATACATGTACTAATTCTGCATAGACATGTATTTTTAATTTTCTTTAATTCAATTCTTTTTTCAATTCTCTCTCAGTATCTAGGGGTAGAATTGTTGGGTCGTATGGTAACTTTATGCCTAGCTTTTGGAGGAACTGACAAACTGTTTGCCAAAGCAGCCTCACCACTTTACTTTCCCTCCAACGATGTAGAGGATTCCAATCTCTCCACATTCTCACCATCACTTATTGTTGCCTGTATTTTTTATTGTCTCATAGTAGATGTGAAGTGGTGTATCTTATTGTGGTTTTGAATTTTCCTAATGACTAATGATGTTGAGTATCTTCATGAGCTTATAAGCCAATTGTATTTCGTGTACATGAGCAAATCATGATAAGTGGAGAAAAGACTGAAGTTGTCAAAGATTTCATTTTCCTTGAATCTACTATCAACACCCATGGAAGCAGCAGTCAAGAAATCAGTCACCATATTGCACTGGGTACATATACTACAAAAAAACTCTTTCAAGTGTTAAGAGTAAAGAGGTCACTTTGAAGACTAAGGTGTACCTAACCCAAGCTCTGGTAGCATAGTGGCTAAGGCACTTGACTGCTAACCAGAAGGCTGGCGGTTCAAACCCACCAGCCACTCCTCGGAAGGAAGATGGGGCAATCTACTTCCGTATTGATACTGCCTCGGAAACCCAAGGAGGAGTGGGGCTGACTTGATGGCACATAACAACAACAACAACAACCCAAGCTGTTGGTATTTTCAATCATCTCATATGCTTGTGAAAGCTGGATAATGAATAAGAAAGAAGTACCAAGAGTTGATACCTTTAAATTGTGGTATTGGTGAAGAATACTGAAAATATCACGACTGTCAGAAGAATGAACAAATCTATCCTGGAGGAAGTGCAGCCAGAATGTTCCTTAGATGTGAGAATGACCAGACTTCATCTCACTGACTTTGGTCATTGTAATGCAGAGTTGCCAAGACACCAGGACATGGAGTTGTTTCAGAGAAGTAGTTTATTAGCACTCCCTGGCGAGGTTCTCGAGGTTCTCTCGTGCCCTAGCATCAAGGCCAGAGAAGTCGCACCCCCGGGGCAGGGGGGATAGATTCTTATAGACACAGAGAGGACTTAATTGGGGACACTAAAGAAATGGCAGGGTCCAATTAGCTGTTGGCACGGGTCTGCACTTAATTAGCATGAGGGGGCTTCACAGGAGGAAGTTTGTCATCACGTGGGGCTTTCTAGCCTGGGAGGGTTGTCACCTCGGTTGTCTTATCACGCTGTCTCATCGGGGCCTGACACCTGGAGGAAGCTGCTAACTGAAATGTTGGTGGCTTGAGTTTGCTCTGGCCTAGCAGTCATAAGGTCAGAAGGGATGAGTCCCTGGATAAGGATTTCGTGCCTGACAAAGTGAAGGGTCAGAGGTAAAGGGGAAGATCCTCAATGAGATGGACTGACACAGTGGCTGCAACGATGGGCTCAAGCAGAGCAAAGATTATGAGGATGCCGAGGAGGACCAGCCAGTGTCTCATTCAGTTATACGCAGGGTCGCTATGAGTCAGAATTGACTCAATGGCACCACCACCGACTACAGTTTTTAGTCTAAAAAACAATATACAAATTTATAAATAGTGTATAGTCTCAACATGTTTCAAAAATGCAGAGGAAGAATCAGGAAACACATTTTTAAAAACAGTGACTTTATTTAGGAAACAAGATTATGACTGATCTCCATTTTTCTAAGTTCTTCTATGTCTCTCAAAAGCCCTGCAGTGAGTATGAATTAGGCACCTGGCTGGTACAAATGGTTTGTGCTTAACTACTAGCTGAAAGGTTGGGGGTCCGAATCCACCCAGAATGCCTCAGAAGATAGACCAGGCCATCTGCTTCCAAAAGGTCACAGTCATTGAATATCCTATGAAGCACAAGAGCAGTTCTGCTATGCATACAAGGGGTTGGCTGAGTCGGAATCTATTCAACGACAATGCATTGGGTTTGCTTTTGTAACTTTTAAATACCGTGCAGAGCATGAATTACTTTTATGATCTGAAACTAAAGGAAAAGAGTGAATAATGGGTTTTCCACACTTTCACATTTATTTGGCCATGACATTCTTCTGGGCAGTTGAGCATCATGGCCAACAACTTGACTTTGGGTCTAGATGGTTATGTGTCTTTCCTCTGGAACCCATATGGACTCTATCAGCTCCACCAGCAGGTACACGCCTGCAGCCTTATACACCAGCTTTGGTGAGGGTTGCCTGATTCCTTCTCTTCCCAGTGCATATGGAAGGGGATTTTATCCAGGGTCATAGAAGAGACAACTGAATTCTTTGTGCAGAAAAGAAAGCCACTCAGGGAGCCATGAGATGGGGAGGAACCCAGGTTAAGGATAGGACAAAGAAATGGTACCTAGTAATCAATCTGGATGGGTCACGGCTGTAGAGAAGATTTAAACTCTCTGGGTGGAGGGGAGGAAAGAGAGTGTCAAGGAAGGCTGGTTTAGTGAAGGAAGTCTTCTTGTAGGCAAGAGAATGGAGCTGAGTTATGCAGGACTGTGGATAGACAGAGAAAGAACCAGAGAAGAACCGGTTTCTGTTGAGTAGACTCTATGCATGGCAACTCCATGTGTATCAGAGTAGAACTGTGCTCCGTAGGATTTTCAATGGCTGATTTTTCAGAAGTAGATTGCCAGGCCTTTCTTCCAAGGCACCTCTGGGTGGCTTCAACTTATCAGCTGGCAGCCAGGCATGTTAACCATTTGCACCACCCAGGGACTCCAGACAAATATGGGGAAAGGTTTAATTCTGATCTGTACATTGTCCGTTTCTGTCTGTTCTCTGCACTCAAACCCCCTCCTTCCCTATCTGCCAATAGTTGCTCAAGGACAGCATGTAGGTCTTACTCTCTTCTCTCCTGCCACAGAGTAGAGTGGGGGGGGAGGGATGGACCAGGGTGATGGAGTTCATTAATGGAGCTTCACTTGGGTGGGAAGCAGCAGGCAGCAGGTGAGGGGCACAGGACAGTGCATATGAAGAGGACATAAAAACAGGACCTAGAAGTGAAGAATCTACTGAGAGAAAAAGGGAAGAAACAGACCCAAGCAGTTTCCAAGAGCAAACCCAAAAGGCTAATGCACACATACAGAAATGCTCTTGCTAATTAGTTATGAAAGGAATGTAAATTTAAACAACAATGAGATGTCACTTGACACCCATTAGACTTGCAAACTTTTAAAGGCTGGATAATGCCAAGTGCTGGTGGGGCTGGGAGGACTGAGGAAGCTTGAGCGCTGCTGGTGGGAGTGTAGATATTGCAGTCTTTCTGGAGAACAGGCTGGCACTGCTTATCAAATTAAGCAGCAGCAGAACTGGTGACCGTACTTCTATCCTGGGTGGGTTTCTCAGAGAAATGACCCCGCAGGTCCAAGAGGGGTCAGGCATGTGAATGGTCATGGCAGCAGTGGTGGAAGGAGGGGGAGGGAGATCAGATGGGAAAGATGTGGGTGATGGCACCATGCAGTACCTTGTCACAGTCAGTGACAGTGAACCAGATGCCACATGGCAACATGGGGATTGTGTCAAAACAGAGAGGCAAGGGAAAAACATTCGACAGAGGATGAGGCATATAACCAACACTGTTTATATAAATGGAAAATATAAACACACATACACACACACACACACACACACACACAAAAAAAAAATCCACTGCCATTGAGTTGATTCTAACTCATAGCAATCCTAAAGGACAGAGTAGAACTGCTCCATAGGCTATAAATCTTTACAGAAGCAACCCATCTCATCTTTCTCCCATGGAGCTGCTTATGGATTTGAACTACAGACCTTTTGGTTAGCAGTCCAATACTTTAACCACAGCATCATTAGATCTCCCTATATAGCCACATAAGGCACTACATATTTTGCAAAAACACACACAAACACAAATATTCACATTAAACACATTGGAATGGTTGCCAGCGGGAGGAGAGAATAAGGGTAGGGCTAAAAGAGAATAACTTTTTTCAAATGAAACCAGAGAGGGTCCTTGCACAAACAATGCAGGTGTGATGTGAACTGAAGCATACGGTGGACTTGACTCTCTGCACTTGAAGTTCAATTAGAGGACAAAAAGCCTCTTCCTGTTAGGGAGGCGCTCATTTACTCAACCAGGTGTCTGTCAGTTACAGTTACTGGCACCCCTGTGCCTTGGGCTATAGCCCCAGGCTTTAGGAGGAGGAATGATGTCTCAAGGCTGCCTCTGCTCAGGGCTGGGCAGCAACTTGGTGGTGCAGGGTGCTGAGGGCTCTCAAGTGGTGCTGATCCTTCTCGATCCCCTGAAAAAAGGTGGGCCCACCATAGCTGCCCAAGTGCAGGTGTGGACTCCAGTAGTGGCATGTGGCTAGCCTAGCACGCGGATGTCAGCACCTTCACCTCTGAGCCAGTGGGCATCGGCCACCTGGTGTGGGTCCTCCGGGCTGGCAGAAGCTCAGGGTCATGGCCATGCCACCTTCGTGAGATCTCAGTCCTCACCTCCAGGGACAAGAGAGAGAATGTCAGGAAGGTCCCACCGCTGTTTCTCTACTCAGCCCCAGTGAGGCTGAGGATGTAGGGAGAGACCATAAAGGAGAAACAGAGACATGGGCAGAGGAAGCCAAGGTTGGCCACAGCCACTACTAAGTACCACCTTTGGCGGATACTACTTCCTCCTTCCTGTGAGTAGTTCTGGTCATTCCTTTCTGCTCTTTTCTCTACCTTCTTTGTCTGGACATAGTTAAGACATTTATGGGTTGATTTCTTGAGTTTCTGGCCAGATAATTTCTCTGAGGCTGTTTTGAATCACTTCCACCATCCCAGTTCTGGCCACAGGAAACCAGAGTTGAGACGACTCAACGACACCTAACAACGACAGCAACTCCTGATCCCTAAAAGGCCTCCTCCAACCCCCCTGGTGAATGAACAGTATAATGTGGCCCTTTGCAGAGGGAGGATGGATAAAATGTTTACAAGAAGCATTCAGGTTCAGCATGATCCAGGAGCTCAGGATTTTTCACAATGGATCACAAGGGTAAGGTGTGGTGTGGTCTTGGCTCTATAGAGACAGGTCAGGAGAGATGGGGCCTTAGGGCTGGTGGGAAAGGAGGGTTCAATGAGTAAGGAAGAACCTAGAAAGTCACACACCTCTTGGTTGAGGAAGCAGTACAGGATGGCAACGATGAAACCCTATGGGGCAAAAGAGAATAAACTCCATCAGAACACTTTGGCCTGCCTTCGAGTTGTCTGCAGTCTTTCTACAACCTGTCTCCCACTCACATGCAGGCTGTGGCTTGATTCAGGCCTATACAAAAAGGGAATTTAGAAGTGTCCATCACTTACAATGTGCCTGACATATTGTCGCATGTCAGCATCATAGAAAGCCTGCCAGGGATCTACTATTGGCCTCATTTTCTCTGACATTTCATTTCTGCATCTCTCAGTAATGAGCACAGAGCCTGGCACATAATAGGTGCTCGATAAAAATTTAATAGATAGAAAGATAGATGAATGGATGGATGGATGGTTGGATGGATGATTGAATGGATGGGCAGATGAGTGAATGGGTAGTTGAATGAATAGAGAAATAGATGGCTAGAAGATGGACAGACAGATGAATAGTTGAATAGATGGATGGATGGACAGATGGAAGAATTAATCACCTAGTAACCCTCACCCTACCATAAAGTCAACCAAGACCTCTTTCTTGAGTAACAGCACCTCCTTCCTATCCCAGGACTCTGAGGGAAGGAGTGCCTGTGGAGGCCCCTCACCTGGAAGGAGCCCAGCCCAAGCTCAAGGGGCAGGCGGACGCCCAAGCCGGTGTGGTCAGGTAGGAAATTAAAGATGATGTAGTGAATTCCAAACAGAGGGATGAGAAGAAGGGTTGACTTGGAGAGACGCCTGAAGAAGAGGACAAGCCCTGGGCTCATAGTAGAAATTCTTCATGGTTCGCTCCTACTGTGGGCCCCTGCTCACCCTCACCTCCCACCACCTCTTCTTTTCCACTCTATGCACCAGCCACCCTGGTGAACTCCATCTTCCACATACACACCCTGGGTTTCCTTAATTCTCGGCCCTGGATCCCTCTGTTTCCTATCCCAAATGCTGTTGCCCAGTTTATTCCAGTCAAGGTCTTATGCATCTTTCCAAGTCCAACTCAAAGACCACTCCTTCCAGGAAGACTTCCCTAATTTGCTCTCCCCCCAACACACACACACACACACACACACACCAGGCTGCCACAGAAATCAGTCCTAGTCCTCATCAGCCTATTTGGCATGGTAACCGGCTGTGCAAAGTCTCCATCCTTCCCATACTATGGTCTCCTAGAGGTCAAGGACCAGATATGAAAATATAAGGAGCTGCATGGGGCTATGCACATCTGCCAGATGAAACAGATCACACAGGCTCCCACTTCCCCAGCTGCTCTTCCCCAACCCCACCCCAAGACACACACACACACACACACACACACACACATACCCCGCACCACATCACACAGTACCAGTACTGAGATGGGGTGTGGAGGCTGCCCTGAGCCGGTTCCAGTTTCCTCAACAGGATGCGAATAATATTGAGAAAAAGCCCAAAGTTCACCTGAAAATAGAGGTGCAGGAAGATGGAGGACAATTATCAGGGGATGACCTCTCCAGTCTCCCACCCAGTCTTTCACTGCAGTAGTGTCTGACCAGCCACCAAGGCACCACACTCATCAAAACTCTGATCTGGCGAAGGCTGGGCCCTGATTGAGACCACTGCCTTGGTTTTACCTGGGCCTGGGATATTAAGGCCCAAAGAGGGTGTCACTGAGAATTAGAAGCAGAACTGGGCTGGAACCCGGGCTTCCAGACTTCCAGCCCAGATTCGTGTCCTGCTGTGGATGACCCCTTGGTGGACCAGGAAGATTGATTGAATAAAACGAAGGGCAGTGGCCCCAGAGACTGACCCCAACCGAGAGGATGATGGGCCCCTTGATGATCCACCAGTAGGGGGAGCTGTCATCCAGATCCCAGCACCTAGAGAAAGAACAAGCCAGGAATGATGCCAGGGATGCCAGAATGCAGTAATGCAAAGTCCTCTTTTTGGTGGTAACACATGCCTTGTCCTCCTCTCATCTCTGTCCCTGCTGGTCTCCAGGTTGTCTCTCCTCTCTCTAGCTCTCAAGCCTTCTGGTCTCACCCCACCCCCGTTAGCCTTATCTCCTCTCTCAGCCAATTAGCCACCTCACTTCCAAAGGGACACCTATTCTTGCTGGGCTTACCTTTTCTTTCCACCTCGATGAAGACTTGTGTTTGCTGCTTCTTTGCTGGCCTCTACACTTGCCTTCTTCCTGAAGGCCCCACTGATGACCCAGACCCTTTGCTAGCTCTATGCCCTCAGCTCTGAAAACCTTAGCACCCCTTTCTTGCCACAGTTTACAAAAACTGCCCCTCTTCATCTCCCCACTTCCCACTCCAGGCTCAGCCTGAGAATTCACTGAGGGTAGGATCCAGGTCTCTTCCTCCTCTTCCCAACTTGGAAAGGTTTCCAGTTGTCCCCTCCATGCACCATGTGACCCTCTCCAGGTCAGACTCACGCAGTGTCCTCAAAGGCCCACTTGCAGCCCACCCAGCTGCCTGTGAAGAGCGCAGGAAACCCTGTGGGGACCACAGAGGGGATACTGAGTGAGATGTCTACATCCAAGATGCCAAGGCCCACCCTCCTCCCACCCATATGCCAGGGAAAAGCCTGAGGCCTGATCCTCTCCCCAAAACACTGCAGTGTGACTGTGGTCTGCCACCTCCCCTCTCTGGGCCTCAGGGTCATCATCAGTGAGGTGAAGGTACTTCTGTATGAGCTCCTGGCCTTCCTCACCCTCTGCCTCCCCCATTACATCCAAACTTAGCCCTTGGTGCTCACCCCAGCCAGCAAGAACCAGCCACCAGAAGGGGCACTTCACACTGGGTGATGTGGAAGCCAACAGACAGGTCAGGTAGACAGCTTCGGCTAGTAGCCAACTGAAGTTGGTCATGGTGGCAAAATGGGAGGTGGCGACGGAGACCTTGCACAGTGCCTGAGGGTGGGGGCCTGGGTGCTTCAGGGCCGAGACACCCACTGGGCCCCCGCCCAAGATACTTCACTCAGACCATGAACCTCCAGGGTTCCACCCCTCGGGCAGCCTCAGAGGGGTGCGGTAGTATAGTGTGGTGTATAGAAGCATGGATTTGGGATCCAAACAACCTAGATTCAAATCCCAACACTCATTAGCAGTGTGACACTCCCTATGGCAGAGCTTTCCATCCGCAGAAGGAAAAAACGACACCTATCTCATACCTTTGTCATGAAGAGTAAATGGCAACTCCACGTAAGAGTTGCTATTACTTTCCCTTTCACCCCATCCTTCCTGAGCTCAAGTCTATCCCTCTAAACCAATACATAAATAAATAAACCAATGGCTGTCGAGTTGCTTCAGACTCACGGCAACCCCAGGTGTATCACAGTGGAACTGTGCTCCATAGGGTTTCAAATGCCAGATTTTCAGAAGTAAATCACCAAAGCCTTTCTTCCAAGGCTTCTCTGGGTGGATTCGAACCACCAACCTCTCAGTTAACAGCCAAGCATGTTAATGGTTTGCAACACTCAGAGCCTCCAATCCACCTCCAGAACTGGGAATGTGGAAGAGCACTGTATCAAGCACAGCTCCGTCCCTCAAGTTCTTTCGTGTAGACTCTGCCTTCACCTATGGCTTCACTCTGTGAACCCAGCAGTTCTGAGAGGGAAGCTCTGAGTACAAACGGTCCCCATCTGGCCCCTGCACCACACTTCACACTGGGGTGACCCTGCCTATGACCAGGCTCTCTGCACTCCAGGCCTGTCCTCTACAACGCTGGATTCAAGTCAGACCTTCTTCTTCAGGTCATTTTGAAGATGAAAGGGGATGATATGTGGAAAGTATTGAGGGCAATGTCTGGCACATAATACAGGCTCAATATAGATATAATTGCTACTTCTTTCATTCATTAATTAAGGTCATTGGTTGGTATGTTCAGTCATTTATCTGTCTACTTCCAGAACATTTTTAGAGCATGTGCCTTGTGCTGGGCTTCAACGCCCAGCCTAACTTCCTTTTTTTTTTTCCCCCAGTCTTCTCTTATCCTCCCCAACCCCCTTTCCCATACTGACTTGTCACTTTCTCAGACATGCCGTATGCCTTTTGACCTTCTAGAGTTTGTTCACACTGCTCCCTCCCTGTGATGTGTCCTCCCTCCCCATCTCCCTGTCATTGCTGCAGACCTAGCTCCAAAGCCACCTCATCCCTGAAGCCTTCTCTGTCCTCACCTAGCTCTCTGCTTTTTGTATGCATTTTGTCCCCTAGGAGCCCTGTGTGTTTCCTGAGGGAGGGACCCAGCTCTCTGTCCTCCACCCCTATCCCCATCCCCAGCCACAGACACAGGGATGAAATGAAAAAACTTGTGGAATGAAACAAGGTCTAGACTGGAATGCAGAATGCAGAGCAGAAAGTAGACTACAGAATACGGAGTGAACAGTTGACTATGGAGTGTGGCATGGATTAGCATGGTGGTCTAGACACAGTAACTTAGGATTGACTAAGTTGGGTGTTTCCTTCTTTGGGAACTGGCAATAACACAGTCCCAGGGTCAGCCAATAGACAGGGCAGTATTGGGCAGACTCATCTAGGTCTTTAATCCATCCTCTTCTCCCCACCCCACCCCCCACCATGGCCGTTACAGTGGAGAAGCTGCAGTGGTCAGTGTTGTTGCCATGGAAGAGAGCAGCATCCTTCAGGAACACAGCTCCCGCCTTGAGGATGAAGGTGGCAAACAGCTGGGTGTGGATGTAGTTCCGGGGGCAGTGGAGCCTCCTGGAGGGGGTGGGGGAGATGAGAAACAGGAGGCCAGGTGGGAGAAGGGCTCTGGTGTGTTTACAACAAGGGTCTGGCTGAGTGGGCTGAGCAGGGCTGGGAAGTGAATTGAGTTGAGTGAGTTGAGTTGAGTTGAGTTGAGTGAATTGAGTTGAGTTGAGTGAGTTGACTTGAATTGACTTGAAGTGAAGTGAACTGGAGCCCTCAGTTTTAGCTTTGCAGGACAGCTCAGTCTCATTGAGGGAACTGAGGAAGAAACCAGACTTTGTCTTCAGGAGCTCAGAATCAGGGAGCTTCAGAGGTAAAAATAAGGGCCTGGTCTGTGGCAGTCTCCTGGACCATCAGAGAGACAAGACTCACCTCCATAAGACAGAGAACAGCACAACTTGCTATGATCAGGGGCAGAGTAAGGGGTTCAGATTTGAAGACTAGGGGGAGGGCCTTTAAAGGAGGTGATGGTCAGAGGATTGGAGCATCAAGATGTGCTGTTGCATGCCTCTAGAGGAGGCAGAGTATTCTGAGAAGCAGATGGATTTGGGCTTTGAATTTTGACAGATATAGAAACATTGAGAAAGAAGGAGGCAGGCATTCCCAGGAAATAGAAACAGCATGAGCAAGTGTGGACTTGGGAATGAGTTCTTGTGTGTGAAAAGATGGATCTATATGCTGGGGGAAGGGGAGGGAACCCAGAAATGGACAGGGAGCCTAGATCTGGGGAAACCAGCAGAGAATCAGACTTGGTCTTCTGGATGATGATAGGGAGTCATTGAAGTTTCTTGAGCAGGTGCTGAGGATAGCAAACCTGAGAGCAACCAGGATGGTGACGGCCACGAAGAGGGTTACCACAGAGATGCTGTGGCCCATGGTATAGATGATCTTCACCGTGGAGAAGTAAGATTTCTGGGGAGGGTGGAAACAGAACAGATCTTAGCTCCTGGGCCTTTGGAAAAAAAGGGAGGCTCTGGGCTCAGGCAAATGAAGCATTTTCAACTTGACACCTGGGGGCAGGGAAGTCCTTACCACAGAAAACCCCTCTATGCATTGAAGCTCTTGTTTCCAGCCTGGCTTCCACATGACCCATGGTCAGGGCAGGGCAGGGGAGGGGGACCCAAGCTTTGTCTTCCTCACAGGGGGATTACATGATAAGCAAAATAAGTATGGCCTCCTGTGCTTACTTACTAATAGATATTGAACAGTTTCACAGGTTTTTAACCACATCCCACGTGAAATTGTTCACTACAGATTAGTAAGTAAGCACAAGTAAGCCCAGGCTTACTTTGTTTACTGAGCACTTCAACCCTGTCAAGGACTGTAAATTTAACAAGAGGTTGTGATTGTGTAGGAAGGTGCTGTGGGGTTGGGAGAGAAACAGATGCCAGCTAGCCCTAGAAGCAGTATCTTTGATGTGGTTTTAAAAAATCCAACACTGTTCATGCTCACTGCTGCTCTAGGGGCAAGGAGAGGCAGCAGAAAAACCTATGCATGTCTCTGGGAAATGACAAAAGCTCGAGAGGAAATGGGGCTTGTTTATTGACATGCATTTTGCTCACAGGTTTGGGAACACAGCGTCCTCAAATATAGGGAACAGCTGGGGACAGCCACAGGGAAGCAGGCAGGCAGACAAGGAAAACTCTTGCCTTTCTTGCCTATGTGGATCAATCGAAGTCCATCCTGGCCTCAGAGACAGGAAACTGAGGATATAGCCTAAAGGAAGGAGTAGTGCCTGACACTGCCTCCCATCCCAGTTCCCCTGTGGAATTAAGGCAACCAGAATTCTCCTTAGAAGTGAGAATGGCCAGACTTCATCTTATGTACTTTGATCATGTTGTCAGAAGGGACCCATCCCTGGAGAAGGATAGTATGCATGATAAAGTAGAGGGTCAGTGTAAAAGGGGAAGACCCCCAACGAGATGGGTTGACACAGTGGCTGCAATGATAGGCTCAAACATAGTAAGGATTGTGAGGCTGGCGAGCGGGACTGAGCAGCGTTTCATTCTGTTGTACATACGATCACTCTGGGGTGGAGCTGACTTGACAGCACCTAACAACAACAGCCTCCTTCTGACTCAGTTCTTTCATCTGGAAAATGGTCAGACTATGCTTACCTTTAGGGGCTGAGGGGAGAGAAACATGAGATTATGGGCATACAAGTGCCAGCTGGAATTAGAGGATCTCTGGATGTACTTCTGGACTTGAATTTCATCTACTTAACCCAAACCACAGCAATGCACAGTGACCGGAGAGGGGAAGGAACTTACTCAGGGTGGGGAAAAAAAAAAAAAAAAAAAAACCCACAACAAAGGCCTGGAGTCAGAAAGGGTGCATCAAGAAGATGGTGACCAGTACATTTCCTACCTGTTCTCTGCCTTCCCCCATCTCCAAGCTAACAGTAAGTGGCCCACAGGGTTACCCTAGAGCAAATGAGAGTAAGGGCCCCTCTACTCCTGGCACTTTACTGTCATCTGCTGGAAGACTGCTGTAATTAATATTCCAATCTGATGATGTCTACAGGGAGCATAGCGACACTCACAGTTCGCAGTCCACCCACCACCCATGCAAACTCCCTCAAGGAAGGGTCCAAGAAGCCAGGAACCTCTTACCTCCTCGGCCAATAGCTCCAGGGGCACAGGGCAGGCCACAGGGTAAGGCGGGAAGGGCTCGGACCAGCCCATAATGGTGCAATCCCGCTTCACAGCCCCTGGGAAGAAAGGAGAGTTGTCACAGTACGGGTGAACTTGGAGACATTATGCTGAGTGAAATAAGTCAATCACAAAAGGACAAATATTGTGTGAGACATCTATTATAAAAAGTCAAGAAAAGGTTTGCATGCTAGAAGAAAAGTATTTATAGTTACCAGGGATAGAAGGAGGAGGGAGGGAAAATCACTAACTAGACAGTAGATATGTATTAATTTGGGTGAAGGGAAAAGCAATACACAGTAAAGGGAGGTGAACATAACATGATTAAGGCAAAGGAAGACTGGGAGGTATGCAAGAGTAAAAGACAGCGATATAAATACTATGACATACACAGTCCTGCAATAACAGTAATAAAACCAAATCAAACCCACTGCCATCACAAACAATAAGTTACAAGTGGATACGGAGGTAGACATGTAAAGTGAACAGGTGTGAGATGGCATGTGGGAGTCCATCCATAAGCATGTATGGGTCTGGCAGAGGATATTTCTACATACATATTTGTATGTGCTGCAAATATATCCACATAATATAGTAGAGCGTACAAGGGAAAAAGTTATGCAAACTTCTTAGCCATAACCAAACACCTTGAGGAACTGATTCACTAGGCTTGAGGGCTTAGGACCACAGTCTCAGGAGACATCTAGGTCAATTGATATAACATAGTTCACAAAGACAATGGTGAGTAGCAACTGGAATCTTGAGAGCTTGTGAGGGGCCATCTAAGATATAACTATTTGTCTTCTCTCTTCTCAAGCAAAGAAGAGTGAAGAAAATCCAAGAATCAAGGAAACAATTAGTCCAAAGACCGCATGAACCACAGCCTCCACTAGCCTGAGCCCCGAAGAATTAGACGGTGCCCAGCTACCACTACTGACCACTCTGCTCAGGATCATAATAGGAGGTCCTGGGAAGAGTGGGAGAAAAAATGTAGAGCAAAATTCAAAATCATAAAAAAGACCAGGCTTACTAATCTGATAGAGACTAGTGGAACACCCAAAGATTATGGCCCTTAGGCACCTTTCAGTCCTAAAACTGAACTCACTCCCAGAGATCACCTTTTAGCCAAAAAGTAAGCCAAAGAAGTGAACAGTAACACCTGTGAGAAAAGTGGTCCTCAGAATTATCAACCACACAAGACCAAAAGGGCAGCATTTGCCCAAAAACAAAGTTCAAAAGGCTGGAAGACGCGGGGAAAAAAGACGAACAGAAATGGTGGGACTCAGGAGAAAGCTCTGAGGAAGGGGAAAGTGCTGTTACATAGAGGAGGTTGCAGTTATTGTCCCAAAATAAAATGTGTGTAAATTTTTGAATGGGAAACTAATGAACTCTGTAAACTTTCACCCAAATCACAATAAAATGTTAAAAAAAAAAAAAAAGTGGAAAAAGAGAGTCTCAGATTGTGATGCCTCCTCTCTGCCCAGGATACCATTGAGTGACCCTGGCAGCATGTGCACACACAGATCCTCTTGGTAGCAGAGAGAGAGTCCTGCCTGCAGCACACTCTGGACCCTTGCCTTAGTGGCCTCAGAGCCACCAGCTTGAAATCCTTCCCTTGAAAACAAAATGCAGAAGAGTTAGTGGGGACCAGAAAGGAGTGAGGCTAGTCCCTGGGGTCCTAAGGGCAGGGTGAAGAAAGGAGGCCCTTGGCCCTTGATGGGGCTGAACACTACACACACCTGGCCAGGGAGGCGAGGCAGAGCAGTGCATCCATCCTAGGCGGCTGGTATCATCTGAGCGGTCAGGCAGAGGGGCCCTGCCATCATCCACCCTGGCAGCCAGCCCTTCTGTTAATATTGGGAGAACATTGGCCCCAAGCGGGGCACTGGGCCCAATACCTGCACTCTCCACCCACTAATTCTCATGTCGTGGATGTTCAATGTTCTTATTCTCCCTGGTTTAAAGGTAAGGAAGCTGAGGGTAGGAAGGTTGACTGACTGGCCCAAGGTCACACTAAAAGAGGAGAGATTGGTATTTAAATCCAGATGGTCAGCTTCCCAAGTCAGAGATGTGTCCACCATGTTGGACCAGATGAAGCCACCTCCCTACTCTGCCCCCAACCCACACCATGCCCAGGACCCCTTACCTGGCTCTGAGCTGAAGTGAGAGAAGAAATCTGGGCAGGGAAGCGTGACCCACTCCCCAGAGCCTGCCTTCGGCCAGCACAGCAGCCCATCCCAGGTGCTAGAGCAGCCTAAATGGAGAGAGACAATGCAGTGTCAACTCAGCCCAGGGCAGGGTCACCCAGCACTCTGAGCTGAGGCTGCAGGGGATCAAGGGATCAGAGAAGCTTCCTCCCACCCTTCAGCCCCCACTTCCTCCCCAAGCCCTATACCCTGGGTGGTGTTGGGCATCCTCTCTGCTGCTTGCAGACATGCTTGCTCATCCTCTCTCAACTGTGTGATGAAGTCACATTCTGGGGGCACAAGGGCCAGTACCTGCAGGGAAGAGTTATGGGATGAGCCAAGCCCATTGGGTGCTCCTTTTATGCCTTCTTGTCCAAATGACCAGAGTGCAGAGACAAAGTCCAATTTCTTTCTGTGCCCCTAATCTTAATCACATGGCCTGGCTCACAGCTCATAAAATGTGTTGGATGGATGTTTGGATAAGTGGATAGATGGATGGCTAGATAAGTGAATAGAAACTTAGGAATATTAGTAAGTGTATTGAATTCTTCAAAATTTTCTGGAGCTCCCCGTCTACTACGGCAACTGCTGCCATGTCCAATAATCTGTGAGGGCATCCATGTTGGACAAGCCTCAGCAGAGTTTGCAGACTAAGACAGACTAGGAAAAAAGGCCTGGTGATCTACTTCCAAAAATTAGCCAATTAAATACCTGTAGATTCGAACAGAATATTGTCTAATACGCTGGGGGAAGATGAGTGTCCTATGTTGGAAGACATTAAAATACACAGTGACCACAGCAATGGACTCTAGCATACCCATAATCATGAGGATGGCACAGGGCCATCAAATGTTTCATTCTGTCATTCATGGGGTCACCATGAATCAGATCTGACTCAACAGCAACTAACAACAGTCTAGTTTGAAATACTAGCCCCGTGAAGAATGCAAGGAACATGACAATGGGGCTAGAATCAAAGTGGGGACTTAGAACACTGGAGTGGAGACAGTAGACAGTGGATGACCATCCAGGAGGGACCCACAGACCTTCCTGCAGACCAGTGGCCTAGGAGAAAAGGAAGACACAAAGCCCAGCAAGTGGGGCCACCCCTACTAGCCCTGCCCCTGAAGGGGGGGGCCACTCTAGTCCCTGACCTGCAGAACCCACTCCCCAAATTGCAGCTGGGGCTCAACTGCTCATGGCTCTGCCATCTCCTGCATGGCCCTGTGGGGTCTCAGGCTGCAGATGCCAATCACCACCCAAGTTCTGAGTTTCTTATACTCTGCTGTTGGGTCCCCACATAGACTCAGTGACCTCAGGCCTACATGGGCCCCCATCTCATCTGCCCACAACATATGATACATAGGAATGAAAGAAGGTAGGGTGGCAGAAAAGCCTCGTGGGGACATTCTTACCCAGCAGCTTAATTGTACCCCTGGGATGTTTAGAGAGTTGCTGTCTCCACCTGCCCTTCCTCTTTGTCCACTATCAGGTGAGCCCCGGCCCTTCTGGGACATGTCAGAGACTTTCTGAGGAACCACTAAGGCCAGAGTGGCTACGGCATTGGTGGGCAGCCTCCCACCGAGAGGATGGACAGACAGCCCCCCCCCCCACTTCCTCAGAGAAAGAGGAAAATACAGGGAAACCCAAGTAGCAACCCAAGATGTGGAGTCTCAGGGCCAGCTAAAAGGTGCCCACTGTTGACAGAGGTGGGACTAGAAAGGTGACCCTTTCCAGGATTGACCGTAATGCTGCTCCCGGCTCACCCCAGCTCACATACTGAATCCCACTCTGCCCTGAGGGCAGACTCCATCTCCTGGACACTGGCCTCTCCTGTCCTCGTGGAGCCCACACTGGGAGGCACCAGTGTTTTGCTACTGAGTAACCACCAGAGGGCCTCAGTTCCCCTCTAAACGGAAAGCTGTTAGTGCGGGCTGCACACAGTTGAGAGGGATGAGGCTTCCCTCATGGTGATGAAGAGGGCATAGAAGGTCCATGCAAGGTTCTCCATGCCCAGGGAACAATGAGTGTGAGCCTTAAACCAGCTCACACTCAAAGCACAACAACCCTGTGAGCTGGTAGTACTTCTCCTCAGTATCAAGGCAGCAAGTGAAGCTCAGGAAGGGTGAGGAACTTGCCCTGGGCCACACAGAGAGTTTCATGGAGCCAGGATTCAAACCAAGGCCTGTGTCCCTGGGATCAGGTACAGCAAGTGGGCTGAGGGTGTCAGCTCTCCGTCCTCCCGCCCCCAGCAAGCCAGTGGAGCTGAGGCAACACGGGAGAAGGAGACCTCAGTCCGTGAGGCTCCAAGGAGCTCCTGGGAACTGAGGCTGCCCCACCCTGTACCTTGGGGCTCCCCTCCTTGTCCCTGCTGCCACATCCTGGATGGAACATTCTGGAAAATATGCTGGATAGTCACAGTACATACAGCAGGACTCTGTCTGGGTACACATTTTCCAGCATTCTAGGCCTCAGAGAAATATCTGGTCCAAAAAAAAAAAAAATTTCTTTAGGGCATATTGTGAAAGAAAGAGTCCCCCAGGTGCTGGAGTGGAGCAGCTGGTTCTCCAAATACTATTTGGGTCCTACTTGGTCCCAGGGCCAGCTCTGGTCACATACTTTTAGAAGGAAACATCAGAATTAGAGTGTGTTGAAGTCATGGAAAGACAGAGGGCCCTGGAAATCTTATCAGAAGGGGAGTGTGTGTAAGAATTAGAGATGCATAGCTGCGAGTAGGGAGCTCTGGTGGCGTAGTGCCTAAGGCACTAGAATGCTAACCAGAAGGTTGGTGGTTCGAACCCACCAGCCACTCCTCGGAAGGAAGATTGAGCAATCTACTTCCGTAGTGATACTGCCTCAGAAACCCAAGGAGGGGTCGCTATGAGGTGGAGACGACCCGATGGCACATAACAACAACAACAGCAGCTGAGAGTGGGAGTCCCTGAATGGTTCAAATAGTGACACACGGAGCTGCTAACCAAAAGGTTGGAGGTTTGAGTGTACCCAGAGGTGCCTTGGAAGAAAGGCCTGGTGATCTACTTCCAAAAAGTCAGCCACTGAAAACCCTATGGAGCACAGTTCTCCTCAAACACACATGTGGTCACCATGAGTTGGATTTGACTCAAAGGCAATAGGAATCTGAGAGAAAGAGGAAGCTTGAGATGTGAGAGGTTGGGGCTGACATTGTCCCCCTAATTCTGAGGTACACCTTGGGAAGGACAGATCTGGGTGACCCCCAGAGGGCACAGGCAGGTTCTGAAGGGAACAGCAAGGAGAACCACTCAGCTCAACACTAAAAAGGGCGTTGTTATGGTAAAGACTCCCCAGAAGTGGTACAGACTACCTGGTCGAGGGAAGGAGGAAGCCCCTGTGTCAGGAGTTCTAGCCAGGGCCTGAGCTTGCATGGTAGGGACCCCTGTGCTGGGCAGACTCCAGCTGAGCCTCTATCTGGTCATGAGGCTCCCAGTTCAGGAGCTCAGTGGGAGAGGCAGGATGGCCTGAGCCGGCTACTCACGGTTGGTAAGAGACTCAGCAAGCAAAGGATAGAGGTTGCCCACGGTTGCCTGTGCATAGTGGGCTCAGCCACAACTCCGTCAGCAGGGGAGCCTTTGCCTTCTCTCCTCTGCCACCTTCTGTCCTCTGCTGCTGCAACTGCTGCTGCCACCCTCTGCCTCCCTTCTCATGTGGCTATTGCATAGTCAAGAGCCATCAGAGAGAACAGAACTGGCTGAATATTCACCAGGTTGCAGGGCACCTTGTCCAACTCAACCCTGGCCCTGGGACTGGGACAACAGATGCCCAGCAAGGAGGGGCTGAACCCTTCACCCGCTTTCACCCTATCTGCAAGTCTGTCTATGTGTTTGTCCTGATGCAAGGACCAGAGAGGTGACATCCACAGAAACCTTCCTTTCCCCAAAGCCAAAACCAAACCCACTGCCTTTGAGTGCATTCTGACTCATCGTGACCCTATGGGCAGAGTAGAAGTGCCCTATGGGTTTCCAAGTCTGTAAAACTTGTACAGACGCAGACTGCCTCATCTTTGGGTTTGAACCTTCAAAGTTTTGGTTAGCAGTCCAATACTTTAACAATTACACCACCAGAACTCCTTTTCCTTGCCCCAGTCAGTCAATATTCTTAACCATTTTCCTTCTAAGCCCAACCCCCTGTTTGTCTACACAATGTTGTTGCTGTTGCTGGCTGCCATGGAGTTGGTCCCCAGTTAACGGTGACCCCATGTGCAGTGGCACAATACCCTGCCCACTCCTGCATCACCTGCATGATCAGTTTAGGATCCAACCATCATGATCCATAGCATTGTTACTGGCTGATTTTTAATTTCAACACAAAGAAAACAAAAATCCTCACAACTGGACCAATAAGCAACATCATGATAAACAGAGAAAAGATTGAAAAGTCAATCTTTTCTGTAAATCTTTTATAGAAGCAGACTGCCTCATCTTTCTCCCACAGAACAGCTGGTGGGTTTGAACCTTCAAACTTTTGGTTAGCCAAAAGTGGCTAATAACAATCCAATTGTTATTGTACTTGGATATACAATCAATGCCCACAGAAGCTGCAGTCAAGAAATCAAAAGATGTTTGCATTGGGTAAATCTACTGCAAAAGGCCTTTTTCTAAAGAGCAAAGATGTCACTATGAAGACTAAGGTTCACCTGACCATGGTATTTTCAGTTGCCTCATAAGCATGTGAGAGCTGGACAATGAATAAAAAAAGAAAGGCACAGAAGAACCGATGCATTTGAATTGTGGTAATAGTGAAGAAATTTTTAATGTACCTGGGACTGCTAGAAGAACGAACAAATCTGTCTTGAGGGAAGTACAACAGAAATCCTCCTTAGAAGCCAGAATGACCAGATTTTATCTCTTGTACTTTGGTCATGTTATCAGAAGGGAGTAATTCCTGAAGAAGGATAACATGCTTGGTAAAGTAGAGGATCAGCGAAAAAGGGGAAGACGGCCAAGGAAATGGATGACACAGTGGCTGCAACAATGGGCTCAAGCATGGCAAGGATTGTGAGGATGGTGCAGGGCCGGGCAGCGTTGTGTTCTGTTTTACTATCCGTTGGAACCAATTCAAGAGCTCCTGACAACAATGATAACAACAATTTTGGGGAGTAGATCGCCAGGCTTTTCCTCCTTGTCTATCTTAGTCTGGAAGCTCTGCTGGAAGTTGTGCAGCATCATAGCAACTTGCAAGCCTCCACTGACAGAGGGGTAGTGACTGCACATGAGCTGCATTGGCTGAGAATCAAACCCAGGTTTCCTACGTGGAAAGTGAGAATCCCACCATTGAACCACTAATAACCTCACACAGTGGAGAGACTGCCCCCAAAATGAAAGGGTCTCTGAGGAGAGGAAGGAGGCAGGTGTCTGCCTTCAGGGAGCCTTCAGGTTAATTGGTTGATTGGCTCAGCCCCGGAGAAAGCTCAGAGCTGTGGAGACCAGACAAAGGTAGGAGCAGGGGGAGAGCTGGTGGGGACTGTAAGGTAAGAATAAACTGAAGAAAGGCCGTGATAGATCACACCAGCACAGGCTGGCCAAGAATAAGAGCAGCAGGACCCCATTTCTATGGACAACAGAACAAAACACTGCCTGGTCTTGCACCGTCCTCGCAATCTTTGTTAAGCTTGAGCCCATGCTGGCAGCCACTGTGCCATTCATCTCACTGAGGATCTTCCCCAATTTCGCTGACCCTCTACTTCACCAAGCACGATATCCTTCTCCAGGGACTGCCATTCTGACAATATAACCAAAGCACATGAGAGGAAATCTGGCCATTCTCATTTCTAAGGAACATTCTGGCCGTATTCTTCCAAGACAGATTTGTTTGTTCTTCTGGCAGTCCATGGTGCTTTCAGCATTCTTCACCAACACCATAACTCAAATGCATCAATTCTTCTTCAGTCTTCCTTATTCATTGTCTAGCTTTCACATGCATATGAGGCGATTGAAAATACCATGGCTTGGGTTAGGCACACCTTAGTCTTCAAGGTGACATCTTTGCTCTTCAACACTTTAAAGAGGTCTTTTGCAGGAGATTTGCCCAGTGTAATACATTGCAGTTGAGGATCAGGAGGTTTGACCGTTCCCTTTACACTAAGCTTCTCAGTCTTCTGCTTCTGTCCTTCTCAGTCTTCTGTCTCATTTCTTGACTGTTGCTTCCATGGGCATTCATGCCAATATTTATCCTTTTGTAATGGACTTACTACATTCACTATAATCTCTCCAGGTTCAATGATGTTGTAACATGTATCAGGACTTCATTTCTTTTTAGTGCCTGATCATTTTTATTACAGTTATAGACTTTAAAATGCAGGCTCCCAAATGACCTGGCTACCAACAGCGTTCTAAGTTCCCCCTCAGTCTAGCAAACATTTTGGAATTTGAAAACAGGTATATTTGAGGTCTCGGATCATCCCTGTGCCTGAGAAGTCCTGGTGTCTGCGTACACACCTCCGTTCACAGGTGGTGGGGCTGGATGCTCGTGACAGCAGACCTGTTTACAGCCTGACGAGCATCATAAATGATGCAGGGTGCACATCTGGATCTAGACATCCTTTTACATCAGCAGGGCTTTCTTTCACTGTTTTTATTCACTGCCAGAGAAATGTTAAAGGAAAATATTTTGAAAAGAAGAGCTGCCCCCAGCCCCTGACTCTGTACCCTTGCCCAGGTAGCTCCATGTGTTTGCTACAAAAACAAGGCAGGCAGCACATGTAACCAGCTCTGCATGTTTTCAGGATGAAGCCAAGCACCTCGACTGGCTGGCAGAAGGAGGACTCCTGAGCTGGAAAAGCAGAAGACTGAGAAGGTTAGTGTAAAGGGAACTGTTGAACCTTCTGATCCTCAGCTGCAAAAAGACAAGAGCCCAAGGATACATATTATATAAATCACAATGGATAATGAGTATCAATGTCATTACCACTAATGATGATTAATAACTGATATTGATAGTTATATTGAGTAATAGTTAGCACTACCCAAAGTTCTTGACTGGGGATAATTTTGCCCTGCGGGGGAACTTCAACAATATATGGAGACATTTTTCATTGTCAAGACCAAGAGAAGGAAGGCTGAGGAGAGTGGCAAGTTCTCCTGGTATGTAGTAGGTAGAGGTCAGGGATGCTGCTAAATTCTACAATGTATAGAATGGTCCTCTCTCTCTCTCACACACACACACACACAGAGACATATATAACTGGATAAAGAGTTATCTGGTCCAAAATGTAAATAGCACCAAGCTTGAGAAATTCTAATCTAAATGTTGATGTCCTCTACTCTATCTCAAAGTCCATTTTCTTTTGGAAAAGCTAAAGTTCACAAGACTCCCATCCCTAGCTCTCTAGATGTATTCGGGGTTCAACTTCAGCCTTCATGACTTGCTAGCTATATGATCTCAGGCAAATTACTTAACTGTTTTGAGTCTCAGCTTCCCCATTTGAAAAAATAGAGATGAGTATGATTTCAACTATAGAACATTCTTGAAACAGCAAAATTATAGCAACAATGAAAAGATCAGTGGTTGGCAGAAGTTCAGTGGGAGTGGGGAGGGATGGGGAGCACAGGGCATTTTGGAGCAGTGAAACTATTCTGTATGATGCTGTAGTGGTGGACACATGGCATTACACACGTGTCAGAACCCACAGGACTCTGTAGCTCAAAGAGTGAACCTTTACATTAAAAAAAAACCCTCAAAATTCAATACCATTCTGACTCACAGTGACCCCATAGGACAGAGTAGAACTGCCCCACAGGGTCTCCAAGACTATAAATCTTTACAGAAGCAGACTGCCACATCTATTTCCCATGGAGCAGCTCGTGGGTTCAAACTACTACCCTTACAATTAGCAGCCAAGCACTTAATCACTGTACCACCAGAACTCCTCAAACAATGAAATATTACTTATTAATAAAAATGAATAAACTACTAACACATACAACAACATGGATGAGTCTCAAAAAGCATTTTGCTACATGAAGGAAGTCAGACTAAAAAAATTCCACACCATATGAATACATTTATATGAAATTCTAGATAGGAAACTATAGCAAAGGAAAGTAGATCCAGGGTTGTCAGGGCCCAAGAGTGAGGGTTGTGAATTAACTGCAAAGCAGTAAGAGAGAACTTTTGGGGAATGACAGAAACGTTCTATATAATGGCCATGGTGGGTGCATTACTAACTCAGACGCCGTCGAGTCACCTCTGACTCACGGAGAACCCATGTGTGTCAGAGTAGAACTGTGCTCCATAGGATTTTCAATGGCTGAATTTTGGGAAGTAGATCACCAGGCCTTTCTTCCAAGGTGCCTCTGGGTGGACTTGAACCTTTCTTTTAGCAGCTGAGCATGTAAAAATTCATCCAATTGCACACTTAAACTTAATCATTACATGCAAATGATTCCCAGTAAAGCTGATTTTAAATAGATACATAGATAGATAGATAGATAGATAGATAGATAGATAGATAGATATGCAAGTTGTACAATTTATTTTATTTTATTTTAATCTATATTTGTGTAAAAAAAAACCCAAACTCACTGCCATTGAGTC